CCCCAGCAGGCTCGCTACAACCCCCCCCCACAATCTGGCCGATCCTCCGGTTCCCCCCCATGTTGACAACACGCACTTTAAGAGCTCGGCCGGTCCGGTCCGGTCCGGTTCGGTTCGGGTACCTGAGTTTCTGTGAGGCTGAGGCTGTGCGCGAGCTGCTTCCGCTCGGCTCCGACCACGTAGTGGTTCTTCTCGAACGCGTGCTCGAGCCGCAGCAGCTGCGAGGGCGAGAAGGCGGTTCGGATCCGTTTGGGCTTCCGGGCCAGCGCGTTGTGCAGCAGGAAGCTCTCCGGTCCGGACTCGTTCCCTGAACACAACAAACATCAAAGCAAACATTTAGTGACGCAAAGATTATATTAAATATAAAAACCAAAATATTCATCTAACGAAAACAAGCTCGTCCTGGAGTCTGATTTAATTTAATTCTATTTAAGTAAACCTTGTTTATTTAACATTTAACACAGTTATTTTATTTTGTTAAATAAATAAAAAACAAGAACAGTATTTTAGTTTAAGCAGCTTAAACTCATTAAATTATTAAATACAATTATTAGAAACTTTAAACCATTAACATGATTAAATGCTCGTTAAATATGAGTTAAAACAGAAATCAAAGATGAATTAAATTGTATAAATTTAATTTAAATGTCCAAAAACAGAAAAAGACTGTTTTTAAAATCTGACTAAAATATAAATTTAAACTTTAACTTAAATAATAAATGTTTCCAGAACATTTAACAGAATTTATTTGAGCTTCTCTGAAACGAATTATTTTAACTAAATTAAAGGATTTAAAAACTGAATTTAATTTGTTTTAAAATAATTAAATTTGTATTATTTTGGGTTAAATAAAGTTCGCCACACGCACGGCTCTTGTTCAGAACCGAGCCGGAGTAGAACCTCAAATAAAGGAGGTCGACCCACCTTGGAACCTGTGGCCCAGGTACCGGTACCGGTGCAGCAGCCAGGGGTAGAAGGTGGACGGGTCCCGCTGCTGGCTGGCGAACAGCGCGTGCGGACTGTGCGAGGATGAAAGCGGGTGCGCCGCGAGCGCGTGCGGTGGGGCCACCGGATGCACCGACACGGCGGGGTTCGGCGGGTGCGAGACCGCCTCGGCGAACACCAGGTCCGGGTTGGAGGAGTAGACCCCCCGGGCCCCGGAGTGGAACCCGTTCAAGAACGGGTTCATCTGGCCCGGGTTGTAGCTGAGGGCCGCGGGCCGGATGGGGTCCTCGGAGCGGGACGCGGCGCCCCCAGGAGGACTGTCCTTGGCCACCAAAGACTCGATGGTGAAGCACCTCTTGGGCGCGGGCTGGAACATGGTCTGCGGGTCCGGGGTCCCCAGTTCAAGCGGTCTGAAGGTCCCGGATCCCCGGCTCAGGTGGTCTGGAAGTCCTGGATCCCCAGCTCAGGTAGTCTGGAAGTCCTGGATCCCCAGGTGTTCTGGAGGTCCCGGGTTCCTGGCTCTGGTGGTGTGCGGGTCCCGGATCCCAGGCGGTCTGCAGGTCCTAGATCCCCGGCTCAGGTCTGCGGGTCCTGGATCCCCGGCTCAGGTCTG